TTTTTTTTTTTTTTTTTTTTTCTCTTATTCAAACACACATATTAATTAAATTACCAATTTAACGTTATTATTTTAATTGATGAGCATATATATATATAAAGTTTAAAAATTAACAAAGAAGACCAATCTGAATTTTTTTGGGGGGCGGGGAGTGTGAGACTTACTATTTATCACTTTTCAATTTCTGTCGATTTGCTGGCCGACTTCAACAAAATCATTCCCGGCTTGAATGAGCTAATAAGCCGACTGGCCAAGCCTCCACCAGCAGCCACGTCGCACGTATCACATTTTTTTAAAATTAACCCAAACTTTATTTTGAAAAGGGTTACCACTTTAAATACTTTTTCAAATATCTCCAAATAAGAATATTTGTTTGAGATTTAAATTACTTTACACAGAAAAAGAATTATTTAAAAGAGTCTAAAGATTCCGAAAAGGATTAGACGCAGACGGTCATCTAACAACTAATCTAATACTTAATAATTAATAAATAGGAGACAACGTTTTCATATTTAATAATTATAGAAATTTTGATTATTTAAAATTATAGGCTGCTCCAACTGCACAGACAAAGTATCAAGAACGGATTTTTTTTTTTTTTCTTTTTCTTTTTGTTAATTCCAAAATTGTCCTTATAAATCCGTTTCAAAAGTACGGTCAATATAAGCGCGGGGGGTGGTTCCACTCGCGATAGACGGTGGCCGTAATTTGCATTTGGCGTGAATTTGAGATGAATTTGGTTCTGGCAAACCGCAGTGAACCCAACCCTAGTTAGATTCCAACCCTACTTTCTGACACGAGTTGGATTATTTAAAGACAGAGAAAGTATTAGACTAATCGTAATTGAGCTGCACACTCCCCCTCTCCTCCTCCTCCTCCTCCTCCTCCTCCGCCTCTTATTCCATTTTCCAGAGCTTCTCCCTCAACCCACGACCTCTAATAATGCAGTAGAGAGAGAAACAAGAGAGAGAACGGGAGAAAAATATCATCTTGGGCAATCGATCAACTCTCTGTTTTTTCATCATCATCTTCTTCTTCTGTGGGCTGGGTTGGATTTTGATATTTTTGTTTCCATTTTGAGGATCGCTTTGTATTGGGGTTTCATATTGTTCTTCCATTTTGAGGATCGATTTGAATTGGGTTTTGTTTTCTGGACTTTTCTTTTGATGGGTTCAGAGAAGGAAGGAGAATCGAAGACCAAGAAAGATCCAGGGGAAACAGGGGAAGTAACTGGGAACTTGTACAGAGTCGGCCTTGTTTCACATCTGGAACGTCCTCTGCTTCTTCCTGCAACTCCATACCTTTCTGCTACTTTGAACCACTCTTTCAGTTCCTAACAATCCCTTGCTACGCTTCTAACAAATCACGCCTCCAAGCTTTTAGGGTTCACTTGAATACAAGGGGTGCTGTTTTTTTAAATCTCTTCCGTCATGAAGAGACATGGCAGCTCAGATTCGTTGGGCGCTCTGATGTCTGTGTGTCCTACTCCAGGTTTAAATATAAACAACAATTTTGTTTTATATATCTTCATTTCTTTATTCTTCTTCTGCTGCTTAATTTCCATTTTCCCGACACCCCCATGTGAGTTTTTGTTTTGTTTTCTTTCTTGTCTCTTGTTAAAACCCAATAACTCGCAGGAATCTTTACGAAACACGCTCTTGCTTGCAGATGAACAGAGTCCGAGGAACAGCCATGTTTATGGCAGGGAATTTCAGTCGATGTTGGACGGGTTGGACGAAGAAGGCTCCATGGAAGAACAGTGTCATGTGGGAGAGAAGAAACGGAGACTCAGTGTTGATCAAGTTAAGGCCTTGGAGAAAACATTCGAGATTGAAAACAAGCTGGAGCCAGATAGGAAAGTGAAGCTT